GTCCCGGGCGGGGCGCAGCGGGCCGCGGGGCTCCGGGCGCGCTCCCCGCACTACTCCAGTGCCATGGTGCGCCGGAGGAGCGGCTCGGTTTAGAGCTGGGGCTGGCGGCGGAGGGATACTCCGGCCGGGAGCCGCCTCACCCCTCCTCAAACTTCCTGACATTTGAACTCATTGGTGCGCCTCGTATCACTGCGCCGCGATGAGCCGGCGGCTCCACGTCAAATAGTGCCGTCGCCGCCCCCCCCTCCCCGCGGGAGGGCTCCCTAAGCCCCCGGCCTGTACCCCGCACCGTGCCCCGGCCCCGGTCAGCCAGCCTGCCCACCCTTGGCAGAAGTTTGGGTAGCCATCGAAACAAATCCTGTGCCCCACCCCTCTTGAAAAATTGATTTGGGAGTTGGGGAAATCAGGCTTTCTTTTTTTTTTTTCTTTCTTGCCTTTTTTATTATTAATATTTTTGTAAAAAAAAAAAAAAAAAAAAAGCTCCAGCGATCAGAGGAGTGGCCCCGAGCGAGGCCAGACTGTGCAGACGGCGGGGAGCGCAGTGACTTCTCCAGGGTACGGCGCCAGGCGGGAACGGCGGCCCGGGGACCCCGACTTGTCGGCGAAGGTAGGTCGCAGGGTCTGAATTGGTGTCTCCCCCCCGCCCCCCCGAAGGCAGCGCCTGCATCGGACAGCTCGGTATGCAGAGAGGGATGACTCCCGGGATCGAGGGATAGGGAACATCACATGGCGAGAACTGCTGGCCCGGGACTCGCCAAAGGCAGCCCTGGCCTGGGAATGGGGCGGAAGGGATGCAATTTGAATGAGAGGTTCTGAAAACCTTGGCCTGGCAGAAATAGGGCGGGAGGGTGAGCTGAAGGAGCCCCCAGATCCTGAATGGGAGACATTGGGTGGGTGAGGACAGTCAGGCCAGAGTTGAAACCAGGAGAGTGTAAGAGGATCAACAGGACTGGAAAGGTGTCTTGGTCACCGGCGGGAGCAGTGGACGAAGGCTGGGCCTACCAGGGCTTGGAGTATGAGATGCAGGTAAGAAATGGTGTCCCCAAGATTTAGAGACGAAGGCCTGGGTCGGTGAGAGTCCAACCGCTCCAAGGAAATCAGGGTGACTTCTTGAATAGGTGCCCTTTCACTGTGGCCAAGGGGCCTGGCCTGGGGTCGAGACGGAGCGCTGGCCAGCCTGGGCAAAGTGGGCCTCGACATTGGGCAGCGCAAGGCCAGAGGCATGCAACTGGCGACTGCTGTGTGCATCCTACCTGATACCCCCCTCCACCCCGGGGAGGAAAGTAGAAGACATCGTGTCAGGACCTTAGGCACCTTGGGCACTACCGCTCGTCCTGGGATAGCGGGAGGGATGGATGGTGCGGCCTCAGGGCAGGAGCTGACTGTCCCCCGTGAGCCTCTGCAGGGCGGCCCTGGCCCCTCCGGGAGTGGAGCAGCGACGCGGAGCCGAGCGGGGGTGGAGGGCACGGAGGGCGGGTCCCCTGACCCCGCTGGAGGCGAGAGGGCGGATCGGATTTGGAGCTTGCAGGAGGCTTGGTCAGAAGTGGCCCCTTGTGCTTCGGGGGCCCCCCGGAGGGGCCCGGCTTTGTGGAGGATTAGCGGTCACCGCCCCACCCCAGTACCTGCCTGTGCGTCGGTGGGTATCCGAGTGTGTCTGTGCGTGTCGGCGCTCCCGACTCTGATGCTATTGAGTACGTGTGCACCCGTGTCCTTGTGCACATACAATTTTGTGTTTGTGTGGCCTTGCGACTTTCCAGACTGCGAGTGTCTGCGTGTTGTGTGCACATCTGCAGACCTTCTCTTGCTTCTGTGTCATGCTTCCGCACGTCTTTGTATGTGTCCTTGTGTCCGGGTCACTATGAAGATGCCTACGCCTTTGTGTGCGCCTCGGCCCCTGGAGTGTGTCTAGTAGATTTTTCTCTATATGTGTGTCTCCGAGTTACCTTTGTGTTTCTGTTTGCCCCCAAGTTCCTGAATTGTTTTGTGTCGCCCAGGGGTTTTGTGTTTGTCGCTTTGTGTTCTGTGTATTTCTCGGCGCCTTTGTGTGTCTGTATCCGGGAGCATGGGTATGTGGATGTAGAGTTTTCTTCACACACCCTTCGTCCTCTTGTCTTTACTCAGTGTGGGAAATCTTAGGCCTTGAGCTCCAAGGTTGGGCCTGGGCCTGGGCCTGGGCCGCCTTCTCTGGGTATCTGGGCCCCGGCGCTGCGGGAAGAAGCCGGGCGGGTAAGGCTCCGGCGTGCAAAGCCGAGAGGCGCCGAACAGCGCGCGGGCCGGCAGGTCGATCGGGTGCACTCTGCCCTCTGCTGGCTACAGTGTGTCCCTGCAACCACTGCTGGGTACCGCCTGCAGGCGAAAGCCCGAGTTCCAGGCCGGGACCTTCGCCATCTCCTTCAGGCTGCATGGAAGTATCTTCAGAAGTATCTTCCTGGTCTCCAATCCTGAAGACGCACCTGGACCTTAAACGCTCCATGCGGTGTTGCACTCCCACCCGTGCCTTCCCATTTCACCACGCTCCCTGTGCCTGGTCATTTCTACTTCATCGCTCTTCTTTTCTCTTTGGTTGAATGGAGGGCCCTGTGGCCCAGCCTCGGAAGCTTCCCTGACCCTGTGGCTGGCGTCTAGAACCCGGTTTGGGCCTTGGCTGTGTTTGTTGCGCTTTTTTTGCAATGCTTGAAGCGAGGTCTCAGCGCCGAGGGTACACCTGTAGCCCCCATTTGGTGCATGGCTGGTGTGTTTCCAAGGTGCAGAGGTTACTGGCGTCTCTCCCTGCACCCCTGTCCAAGCCGCAGCTCTGTTACGGGCCGACCCGGGCCGGGCTGCTGGAACTGTCGGCGACTCCTTGGGTGGAAAGGCTTCCATCTCTAGTCTGATTGCTCCACCACAACCTTGATCTCTCTTCCACGCCTGTTTCCTCCCGTCCATTCTCCCCGACCCGGAGGCCTTGGCCGTTGTCCTTTGTCCTCACTTCCTCAACCTGAATTGACTATCACCGATCCTTTTCACATAGCCGCGTAAGGTCGTCCATGTGTCTGTGAAGCATCCTTAGGGTTTTTGGCCTCCCAGTCTCTGCCTCCGTGGAAGAATAATACGGCTGGACAGGAGGACACCGGCCTAGGCTCGGAGCCCAAGTCTCTCCGCCTGGCTCTGCGGGATCTCAGCCATCGTTTCGGTACCAGCCGTTGCCCCCCTGCGGCTCTGAGACTCACAAGGCGGATGATCGCCCAGGCAGACGTCGTCCAACGCGGGATGCTTGCTGCCTCCAACGTCTTGCGGCAGAATCCGCTCCGGACTGTTTCCACCTTAGCAAAGACGGAGGAGGCTGGCTGCCAGCACCGCTGGGCTTGCAAGAAACAAACAGGAGGGAGTTGGGCTCTTCCTATTCCCACAGGCGCGCAGCTTCTGAGCCCTGCCCTGAGGCTTCTGGCTCTTCTCGGTTAGGACTTCGCAACCTCTCGGTAGCGACCCGCCTCGTACGAGAGCTCGCAGGGTGTGTGTGTGGGGGGGGGGGTTAGGGCTACACCAGTGAAACCCCAATCGTTTCATGCTTCTGACCAGAGTCGGAGAGAGAGGACCCTCTAGGTTTAGAACCCATAGCTGGAGTCTCAGATCCCAGCAGGCATGAGCACCAGGCACAGCCTTGGGTGCACCAGTAAGAAGGAGAATATCAGAAACATCCAGCCTGGCCTTTTTGCTCTGTCACAAGGACCAAGGTCATGGAGCACCTAGGCCCACCCCACGCTGCCCCCCAGGCTAATGGAACCTCATGACTGAATCAAAGCTGCCCCAAGGCATGGTCCAGGTCGGGAGGCTCTCCGGGAGAGTCAGCTCCAGGTCCCGGGTGTTGAAGAATCCGCAGACTCCGGAAGTGGAACAAGGGCGCGCCCAAGGCTCAGCAGAGGTCGAAGGTGGGCAATTTCCAATTCCCGAGTGACCAGGCACACCTCCGAGCGTCCCAGCTAGACTTAACCCAGGACACACGGGTCAAAGGATGGGACAGTCACTTCCCATCACCCAGGAGAAAGCGTCTGAGGTCGTCCTGTGCTGCTGGAAGCCCGGTTGGAGGTTCTCCAGAGAGGAGAGACTGGGAAGGGACCCCCGGGGTGCTGCTCATTCTCCCCTGGAAGCTTTTGAGGCTGATGAGAGAGGGGTGCTGGGACTTGCGGGTGACCAGTGTGTACTATGCCCACAGCGGGAGATGAGCATTCACAGCCAAGTCCCTCAGCCTTCCAACAACCCCCACTCTGGCCATTAGTTCGGACTATTAGTCATGGGCTTGCTCCACATGTCAGGAAATCGGGCTCCCTCAGATCCAAAGGCTGCTGGCAGCCCTCGGGAAGGGCGCGAAGAGAAGAACACAGGCCCTCCCCAGGACTGGGTAGCCGGGGAGCTCAGGTCTCCCACCAGCTAGGCGGTGATTAAGGGCAGAGAATGGCCCCAGATCTTGTCTCAAGGGCTGGTTAGGAAACACCAGGATGGGAGACCTGCACCTCTGCACCTCAATGTCCCTGTCTGTGCAATGGGCATAAAAAAGGCATCAATTTTACAGGCTTCCCGGGAGGGTGATGCAGACATGCTCTTGGTGTGCCCAGCTCACTGCAGGGCTCTAGACTT